TTAGAGAGGAAAGGAGAGGGAGAAAGAGATAGAAACATCAATGGTAAGAGAGAATCATTGATCGGCTGCCTCCTGCACGCCCCCCACTGGGACCAAGCCCGCAACCCAGGCATGTGCCCTTGGCCGGAATCGAACTCAGGACCCTTCAGTCCACAGGCCGACACTCCATCCATTGAGCCAAACCAGCCAGGGCGGTCTGGCTGCTCTTACCGAGAGCCATGAGGTGCTACTGCATGATTTAAAGGGGGAGTCGGTGTCACCTCCGGGTACCGAATACAGTCTGGGAGCGCTACTTTGGGTGCCAAGGTATTGGAATTGCTGACTCTGCGAGGGGGTGTGGTGGTGTTTACAGTGTGGTGTGCACACCACTCAGACGCATCGCCTGGATGTGCGGAGGCCTCACCTTGTCCTCCTGAATTGGCAGCACCTGGTAATCTGCATTATGCATAAAAGACCCCTACAGTTCGTTGCTCCTGAAAGTGGAGCATGGAATTTGACCCTGAGCTTCTGAGTGGCCAGAGGGAAAAGGGGAAGAGTTTCAAGGTTTATCGTCCATAAGGGAAAAAAGCACACCAGTTTCTCTCGGCATTCCTTTTCCTGACTCTGAGATTGAAGAGAAGTTTCTGCTACGGGCCCTCGTGGACCCTGGCCTCAGCATTTCCTAGTAACAGAACATGCAGCCATCGCTTCGTAGCAGGACTCCTTACTGTAAGCCAGAGACACAAGGCCAGGCATGATCCATTTTAGGGAATAGTGGAGGTTTGTTGATCCATTTAGGGAATAGTGGGCCGTAGTTATAGGTCACTTGCATGGATTCGAGCTCCTCTCCTGTACCCCTGGCCTGGGTCAGCCTCAGAGCTGGTGTGAAGCCCCTGTGGCATGGAGTGGGCACATGTGTGGGATGGCTCTGAGGCATGGGCCCTCTGTCCCAGGACACCCTGGAGAAGTGTGGCAAGTGTGGCGAGGTGGTCCGAGAACACATCATCAGGGCCCTGGGCCGGGCCTTCCACCCAACCTGCTTCACGTGTGTGAGCTGTGCCCGGTGCATCGGGGATGAGAACTTTGCCCTGGACAGCCAGAACGAGGTGTACTGCCTGGACGACTTCTATCGGTACGAGGGGGCTCTGGGCTCTGGGTGGGCAGGGAGGACAGGTGGGACTCGGGCAGAAGCGCAGAACTGAGCCTGAGTCCTGGGTCCAAGCTTTCCTGCAGGAACCGGGTCTGCCTGGTCCACACCCTCTACCTGGCCAGGTACCTGATTGCAGCTACCTTTGTTTTTAAATATATTTTTATTGATCTCAGAGAGGAAGGGAGAGGGAAAGAGAG